TAACAAAACATTTGACCAATCCAATTTTCAATGCTACCCAAGAAATAAGCTCTGATATGTAAGTCCCATTCAAATCCAACCCCTCCCACTCATGTACTTATCCAACCTAAATTTGAAACTACCCAAAGTCCTAGCCTCAATAACCCAACTAGGTAGACTGTTCCACTCATCAACTACCCTATTTCCAAACCAATACTTTCCTGTGTCCTTTCTAAATCTAAACTTATCTAATTTAAATCCATTACTGCGGGTTCTCTCTTGGAGAGATATCCTCAAGACCTTATTAATATCCCCTTTATTAATACCTATCTTCCACTTATACACTTCGATCAGGTCTCCTCTCATTCTTCGTCTAACAAGTGAATGTAATTTAAGAGTCTTCAATCTTTCTTCATAAGGAAGATTTCTAATGATGCAGTTCAGTTCTAATCTGGGAAAAAGACTCTTCCAAAGTTTTCACAAATTTTTGATCAATAATGGGATGTCTTAACCAGTACTGAACCATCTGTGATGACAGCATCTGTTTTGGGTATAAAGTCTGACATTGTCACTATGAGTATTTTAACCATTGAGACTTGTAACATATAAAGAGCTGGCCTTGTCAGGTCACAAAGTCTGCTATGAAATGAGATGAAGAGTCTAACATGCAGAAGTAGCTTTACTCTTCTTGAAAAGGATTACCACCTCTCCTGTGGTACTACTGTTTTATTAAGTTAGATCAAGCAGTGCTCACAATTATGGTGGCACCCTTTATTAGCTACCATAACTACAGTATGATGGTACCAACAGTGCATAAAAGCATCAATACAGTGGTAGGCACCAAGAGAGTATGCAATGAAACCAACAGTGTGTGTGACAGACCATCTGGTATACTCTGTCAGCTGGAATAATAATTACTGACATACACCACACATCAAGGGTCTTAAAAATTCATGAAAAAATTGTACAATACTGTATAACAAATAAGCCAAAAAATTTTAAAAATTTCACAGAATTACATATCTTCTTCTTTCAACGTACCAGCCGTATCCCACCGAGGTGGGGTGGCCCAAAAGGAAAAATGAAAGTTTCTCCTTTCAAATTTAGTAATATATACAGGAGAAGGGGTTACTAGCCCCTTGCTCCTGGCATTTTAGTCGCCTCTTACGACACGCATGGCTTATGGAGGAAGAATTCTATTCCACTTCCCCATGGAGACAGAATTACATACATATCTATATAATTTGGATATTCTTAACATTAACTCTAAAACTGGGTGCAATGTACAAATATGTCCATGTGGGCAACTGGAAGACATAACATCACCAGGATCTATAGATTTCAATTTGCCAATCTTTAACTTGCCATAAAAGTTTAAATTTTTATTATTTTTTTTGGTAATTATGTTCGATTTTTCATGCTCTACAATTCTGTAAGGAATTTTTTTTTAATTAAGTAAAAAGCATAAAAGATATCACTGATACCCCACCCCCCATGACCTGTTTAGTGGAACTATTTCAATACAACTTAATGATTCTTACAAAATCCATTCTCAACTTGGAAATTTTTTTTTATATAACCTAAAATAGTGTTACCCAACTTAACCTAACCAAGAATTTTATGGCTGGTCTAGGCTAGGTTACATATGGCTGAGTTTGACAGGGTTATGTTATTAAATGTACATAACAATATAAAACTTTTTTCCTATCTGTTCAAAATATTACTGTCTCCGCTGCAGAACCCATATAATAAAAAGGAATTTATAAAATTGATTTTCTTATTTTATCACCAAAATAAAATTTCACAAGTAATTATTTTCTTTCATGGACTGGACACCATGGACTTTATTTATAATATTAAAGATTAATGGATTTCCGTCCAGGGTAAAAAAAAATGCTATTGTTGAGTGTGGCAGCTCTCTGAAACAAGTAACTGTGACACAGTCCCCTGTCGTGGGTAATTGTGAGAGTCCCGTCATGGGTAACTGTGATGCAGTCTAGTGTTGTAGGTAACTGTGGCACAGTCCCCTGTTGTGGGTAATTGTGAGAGTCCCATCATGGGTAACTGTGATGCATTCTAGTGTTGTAGGTAAATGTGACACAGTCCCCTGTTGTGGGTAATTGTGAGAGTCCCGTCACGGGTAACTGTGATGCAGTCTAGTCTTGTAGGTAACTATGACATAGTCCCTGTCGTGGGTAATTGTGACAGTCCCGTCATGGGTAATTGTGACAGTCCCGTCATGGGTAACTGTGATGCAGTCTAAGTGTTGTAGGTAACTGTGACACATTCAATTGTTACAGGTAACTGACACAATCCAATGTTGTAACTATGACACAGTCCCCTGTTGTAACTATGACACAGTCCCTGTTGTATGTAACTGTAACACAGTCCTTGTTGTAGGTAACTGTGACACAGTCCCCTGCTGTAACTGTGACACAGTCCCCTGCTGTAACTGTGACACAGTAACCTGCTGTAACTGTGACAGTCCCCCTGCTGTAACTGTTACACAGTAACCTGCTGTAACTGTGACACAGTCCCTTGCTTTAACTGTGACACAGTCCCATGTCATTGGTAAATGTGACATAGTCCCCTGTCACAGGTAACTGTGACACAGTCCCCTGTCGTAGGTAACTGTGACAAAGTCCCTTGTAGGTAACTGTGACACAGTCCCTTGTCGTAGACAACTGTGATACAGTCCCCTGTTGTAGACAACTGTGACACAGTCCCCTGTTGTAGGTAACTGTGACACAGTCCTGTCATAGATAACTGTGACACAGTCCTGTCATACATAACTGTGACAGTCTCCTGTCATAGGTAACTGTGGCACAGTCCCCTGTCATACATAACTGTGACACAGTTTCTTGTTGTAGGTAACTCTGACACATTCTCCTGCCGTAGATAACCGTGACACATTCTCCTGTCATAGGTAACTGTGACAGTCCCCTGTCATAAGTAACTGTAAATACAATCCTGTCGTAGATAACTGTGACACAGTCCTCCTGTCATACATGACTGTGACACAGTCCCCTGCCGTAGATAACTGCGACACAGTCTCCTGTTGTAGGTAACTCTACCAGCTCTCTGTCATAGGTAACTCTACCAGCTCTCTGTCATAGGTAACTCAGCCAACTCTCTGTCATAGGTAACTCTGCCAGCTCTCTATCACAGGTAACTAAGACAGCTCTCTGTCATAGGTATCTCTGCCAGCTCTCCGTTGTACGTAACTAAGACAGCTCTCTGTCATAGGTAAATAGGTAACTCTGCCAGCTCTTTGTTGTAGATAACTAAGACAGCTCTCTTTCGTAGGTAACTCTGCAAGCTCTCTGTCGTAGGTAACTCTGCCAGTTTTCTGTTGTAACTAAGACAGCACTCTGTCGTAGGTATCTCTGCCAGCTCTCTCTTGTAGGTAACTAAAACAGCTCTCTGTCGTAGGTAACTAAGACAGCTCTCTATTGTAGGTAACTCTGCCAGCTCTGTCGTAGGTAACTCTGCCAGCTCTCTGTCATAGGTAACTAAGACAGCTGTCATATGTAACTCTGCCAGCTCTCTGTCATAGGTAACTAAGACAGCTCTCTTTCATAGGCAACTCTGCAAGGTCTCTGTTGTAGGTAACTCTGCTAGCTCTGTCGTAGGTAACCGTGTCAGCTCTCTGTTATAGGTAACTCTGCCAGCTTTCTGTCGTAGGTAACTCTGTCAGCTCTCTGTTGTAGGTAACTCTGCCAACTCTCTGTCATAGGTAACTTTGCCAGCTCTCTTTCATAGGTAACTTTGCCAGCTCTCTGTCATAGGTAACTAAGACAGCTCTCTGTCATAGGTAACTAAGACAGCTCTCATTCATAGGTAACTTTGCCAGCTCTCTGTCATAGGTAACTAAGACAGCTCTCTGTTGTTGGTAACTAAGACAGCTCTCTATTGTAGGTAACTCTGCCAGCTCTGTCATAGGTAACTTTGCCAGCTCTCTGTCAAAGGTAACTTTGTCAGCTCTCTGTCATAGGTAACTAAAACAGCTCTCTGTCGTAGGTAACTAAGACAGCGCTCTGTCATAGGTATCTCTGTCAGCTCTCTCTTGTAGGTAACTAAGACAGCTCTCTGTCATAGGTAACTAAGACAGCTCTCTGTCGTAGGTAACTAAGATAGCTCTCTATTGTGGGTAACTCTGCCAGCTGTCGTAGGTAACTTTGCCAGGTCTCTGTCATATGTATCTTTGCCAGCTCTCTCTTGTAGGTAACTAAGACAGCTCTCTGCCATAGGTAACTAAGACAGCTCTCTGTCATAGGTAACTAAGACAGCTCTCTATTGTAGGTAACTCTGCCAGCTGTCGTAGGTAACTTTGCCAGCTCTCTGTCATAGGTAACTAAAACAGCTCTCTGTCATAGGTAACTAAGACAGCACTCTGTCGTAAGTAACTAAGACAGCTGACTGTCATAGACAAGTGGACACTGACTGTCATAGACAAGTGGACCCTGACTGTCATAGACAGTTGAACCTTGACTGTCACAGACAAGTAAACGTTGATTGTCACAGACAGGTGAACCTTAACTGCCACAGACAGGCGAACCTTGGCTGTCACAGACAGGTGAACCTTGACTGTCACAGACAGGTGAACCTTGGCTGTCATAGACAGATGAACCTTGACTGTCAGACAGGTGAACCTTGACTGTAACAGACAGATGAACCTTGACTGTCATAGACAGGTGAACCTTGACTGTCATAGACAGGTGAACCTTGACTGTCATAGACTGATGAACCTTGACTGTCATAGACAGGTGAACCTTGACTCTCATAGATGAACCTTGACTGTCATAGACAGATGAACCTTGACTGTCATAGACAGGTGAACCTTGACTGTCATAGACAGGTGAACCTTGACTGTCATAGACAGGTGAACCTTGACTGTCATAGGTGAACCTTGACTGTCATAGACAGGTGAACCTTGACTGTCATAGACAGGTGAACCTTGACTGTCATAGACAGGTGAACCTTGACTGTCATAGACAGGTGAACCTTGACTGTCAACTCACAGTTTATCTTCCTCCAGGTAAAACTCATCGTCAAATTCCATATGGAGTAAAGAGGTGACTGGAGGCAGGATAATGATGGCACAGTTATCCGCTGATCCTTGATGATGATAATGAGGAGGAGAAGCAGGTAGATAACACAGCAGCAGCTGAAACAACCTGACCACTCTTCTTTCTTTGTTGGGTTTATCAGGGCCACTGACGGCTTATGTTGTGTCCAACCTGACTTGATGATAGCAGTGAGTGGGTGGGTGAGTGGGTGAGTGAATGGGTGAGTGGGTGGGTGAGTGGGTGGGTGAGTGAGTGGGTGGGTGAGTGGGTGGATGCGTGGGTGAGTGAGTGGATGGGTGGGTGAGTAGGTGAGTGGGTGAGTGAGTGGTGGGTGAGTGGATGGGTGGGTGACTGGGTGAGTGAGTGGGTGGGTGAGTGGGTGGATGAGTGAGTGGATGGGTGGGTGACTGGGTGAGTGAGTAGGTGAGTGGTGTGGGTGAGTGAGTGGGGGGATGCGTGGGTGAGTGGAATGGGTGGGTGAGTGGGTGGGTGAGTGAGTGGGTGGATGCGTGGGTGAGTGAGTGGGTGGATGCGTGGGTGAGTGGATGGGTGCGTGGGTGGGTGACTGGGTGAGTGAGTAGGTGAGTGGGTGGGTGAGTGAATGGGTGAGTGGATGGGTGAGTGGTGAGTGAGTGGGTGGCTGAGTGGGTGGCTGAGTGAATGGGTGAGTGATGTGGGTAGGTGAGTGGGTGGAGTGAGTGAGTGAATGGGTGAGTGAGTAGGTGAGTGAGTGAGTGATGGGTGAGTGAGTAGGTGAGTGAGTGGGTGGGTGAGTGAGTGGGTGAGTGAATATGTGAATGAGTGGGTGAGTGAATGGGTGGAGTGGGTGAGTGAGTGGGTGAGTGAGTGGGTGGGTGAGTGAATGGGTGAGTGAATGAGTGAGTGGGTAAGTGAGTGAGTTAGTGAGTGGGTGAGCAAGTTAGTGAGTGGGTGAGTTAGTGAGCGAGTGGGTAAGTGAGTAAGTGGGTGAGTGAGTGATTGAGTAAGTCATATCGCTTGACTCCCTCCATTATTTATGCTCTAATAATAGTTGACTCCGTATTCTTCTTATGTGAGTAAGTGAGCAACTGAGTGAGTGGGTGAGTGAGGGAGTAAGTAGTAAGCAAAGTAAGTTTATTCAGGTATACACAAATACAATTACAAAGATTATCATACTAATGCCGGAAAAAAAAATCCCGCCCCAGTACCAACAATACCACCAGTCCGATGACATTCTTCTTTGCAAATATACAGGGTCTAAAGCCAGCAACAAACAACAAAATACCTTTCATCCGTGGACTGCTTGCAGAGGCAAAGGCAATGTTCGCGGCTTTCACTGAGACCCACATAAAGGATCACTTGGACAACGAAATATGGATCCCAGGTTACAACCTATACAGATGTGACAGAGTGAACAGGCAAAAGGGGGGGGGGTAGGCCTGTACATTGCAGAGTAACTTGTTTGCACAGAACTGCTAAATGTTTCAAATGATGTAGTGGAAGTTTTAGCAGTAAAGGTCGACAAGCCTCCGGATGCAACATCCCAGCAATTCCAGGAACAGCTGTTAAAAATTGACCACTGTCTGGAAAATCTTCCAGCTCCTGCACCCAACATCTTGTTCCTGGGAGATTTCAACTTAAGGCACCTAAAATGGAGGAATATAGCAAATAATATTGTTGCAGTAATAACACCAGGAGGCAGCTCTGATGAAAACTCACACTCACACGAGCTTTTAAATCTCTGCACAAAATTCAATTTAAACCAGCAAATAATAGAGCCTACTAGACTGGATAATACAATAGACCTCATCTTCACTAACAATGATGATCTAATAAGAAATGTCACCATATCAAAAACAATATACTCAGATCACAACATAATTGAGGTTCAGACATGTATGCGTGGAACCCCAGACCGACATAATGAGACTAGTCACGAGGGAGCATTCACCAAATTCAACTTCAATAACAAAAACATAAAGTGGGACCAAGTAAACCAAGTCCTAACCGATATAAGCTGGGAAGATATGCTAAGCAACACAGACCCCAACTTATGCCTAGAACAGATTAACTTGGTGGCACTCGATGTATGCACAAGGCTTATTCCTCTAAGAAAAAGGAGGAGTAGATGTAAAATAGAAAGAGACAGGCGCTCCCTTTACAGGCGACGGAAAAGAATAACAGAGCGGCTAAAAGAGGTCAATATATATGAAATGCGTAGGGAGACACTGGTCAGAGAAATAGCAAGCATCGAACTTAAGCTAAAGGAATCTTATAGGAGTCAGGAATCGGGGGAAGAAAATAAAAGCCATAAATGAAATCGAAAGAAACCCAAAGTATTTCTTCTCCTATGCCAAATCAAAGTCGAGAACAACGTCCAGTATTGGGCCCCTACTTAAACAAGATGGGTCCTACACAGATGACAGCAAGGAAATGAGTGAGCTACTCAAGTCCCAATATGACTCAGTTTTTAGCAAGCCGCTAACCAGACTGAGAGTCGAAGATCAAAATTAATTTTTTATGAGAGAGCCACAAAATTCTGGTTAACACAAGCCTATCCGATGTTATCCTGACGCCAAATGACTTCGAACAGGCGATAAATGACATGCCCATGCACTCTGCCCCAGGGCCAGACTCGTGGAACTCCGTGTTCATCAAGAACTGCAAGAAGCCCCTATCACGAGCCTTTTCCATCCTATGGAGAGGGAGCATGGACACGGGGGTCGTCCCACAGTTACTAAAAACAACAGACATAGCCCCACTCCACAAAGGGGGCAGTAAAGCAACAGCAAAGAACTACAGACCGATAGCACTAACATCCCATATCATAAAAATCTTTGAAAGGGTCCTAAGAAGCAACATCACCACCCATCTAGAAACCCATCAGTTACACAACCCAGGGCAACATGCGTTTAGAACAGGTCGCTCCTGTCTGTCTCAACTATTGGATCACTATGACAAGGTCCTAAATGCACTAGAAGACAAAAAGAATGCAGATGTATTATATACAGACTTTGCAAAAGCCTTCGACAAGTGTGACCATGGCGTAATAGCGCACAAAATGCGTGCTAAAGGAATAACAGGAAAAGTCGGTCGATGGATCTATAATTTCCTCACTAACAGAACACAGAGAGTAGTCGTCAACAGAGTAAAGTCCGAGGCAGCTACGGTGAAAAGCTCTGTTCCACAAGGCACAGTACTCGCTCCCATCTTGTTCCTCATCCTCATATCCGATATAGACAAGGATGTCAGCCACAGCACCGTGTCTTCCTTTGCAGATTACACCCGAATCTGCATGACAGTGTCTTCCATTGCAGACACTGCAAGGCTCCAGGCGGACATCAACCGAATCTTTCAGTGGGCTGCAGAAAACAATATGAAGTTCAACGAAGAGAAATTTCAATTACTCATATATGGTAAACACGAGGAAATTAAATCTTCATCAGAGTACAAAACAAATTCTGGCCACAAAATAGAGCGAAACACCAACGTCAAAGACCTGGGAGTGATCATGTCGGAGGATCTCACCTTCAAGGGCCATAACATTGTATCAATCGCATCTGCTAGAAAAATGACAGGATGGATAACGAGAACCTTCAAAACTAGGGAGGCCAAGCCCATGATGACACTCTTCAGGTCACTTGTTCTATCTAGGCTAGAATATTGCTGCACACTAACAGCACCTTTCAAGGCAGGTGAAATTGCCGACCTAGAAAATGTACAGAGAACCTTCACGGCACGCATAACGGAGATAAAACACCTCAATTACTGGGAGCGCTTGAGGTTCCTAAAACTGTATTCCCTGGAACGCAGGCGGGAGAGATACATGATTATATACACCTGGAAAATCCTAGAGGGACTAGTACCGAACTTGCACACGAAAATCACTCACTACGAAAGCAAAAGACTTGGCAGACGATGCACCATCCCCCCAATGAAAAGCAGGGGTGTCACTGGCACGTTAAGAGACCATACAATAAGTGTCAGGGGCCCGAGACTGTTCAACTGCCTCCCAGCACACATAAGGGGGATTACCAACAGACCCCTGGCAGTCTTCAAGCTGGCACTGGACAAGCACCTAAAGTCAGTTCCTGATCAGCCGGGCTGTGGCTCGTACGTTGGTTTGCGTGCAGCCAGCAGCAACAGCCTGGTTGATCAGGCTCTGATCCACCAGGAGTCCTGGTCATAGACCGGGCCGCGGGGGCGTTGACCCCCGGAACTCTCTCCAGGTAAACTCCAGGTAAACATGGTCGCCTGTGACCTGGTGGCTAAAGTTCTCGCTTCCCACGGTGAGGTCTGCGTTTGATTCCCAGCAAGGGTAGAAACATTGGGCGTGTTTACTTACACTGGTTGTCTATGTTCACCCATCAGTGTTAGTTGGCAGGTGTGGGTCGCATCCTGGGATAAAAGTAACCTAATTTGCGGGAAATGCTCAGCATAATAAGTGACTTTATAGTAGTATGTCATTGATGTCAGCTATGGTCTGTATACCTTGTACATGTACTGGTAGAAATAAAGACGATGATATTATTTTTATTATTATCATAGCAACATATGTGTAGAGAACTTAGGAGAACCAAAAAAAGTCAAAGTGACTTATTTCCATTCGGGTCCTTGTGATAAGTATTACTTATTTAAAAGTTAAAAACAAATATCTTTTGTTTTTTTAATTTTTTAGATATTGCCACTGAAGTGGCTAGTTTATAGTGCAGGTCATATCCATCCTGCGGACGGTAGCGCAAGAGCATATGGATACACAAAAGGCCCAGGAACTAGGCCCCAAAGGGTTAACAGGAATGCATATGGATTTATATCTACATATCTATTGTTCACTTATCTGTTACAAACAAATTTAGGAAATTTGCTTAGTATATCTGGTATCTTATTTTCATTAATAAGATATCTTGACATTTCACATACGTTATTATACTGTCTGTCTCTGTATTCCTCAATAAGTGGACAATTAAGCACATAGTGTTCAAGACAGTGACCATATGCCTGATCACATAATTTGCACTTAGTTTGATCATCATCTGTGTGTCTCCCAAACTGCCAGAAGTACTTGTAACCAAGCCTAAGCCTGACCACTACAACATCAGTCAGTACTTGTAACCAAGCCTAAGCCTGGCCACTACAACATCAGTCAGTACTTGTAACCAGGCCTAAGCCTGGCCACTACAACATCAG